GCTTGGGGACCGCCCGCGGGTCTGAGGGGCTGGAGGGGGAGAGGGAGGCTTGGGCAGGGTCCAGGCAAAGCGCGGTGCTGGTGGTGAAAGCGTAAATGAGAGCGCTCAGTTCAGCCTTGCGCTCCTGACGCTGGTTTGTGGCAGCTGTTGCTGGGTGTTGACAGCAGCTGTGCACCTTGGTGAGGAGGAGGTCTCGGAAGTCGTCGCAGGGTAAAAGCCCTCGAATAACGTGATGCTGTGCCCAGCTGGTCGTACAGCGGTCAGCTGGCCTGTCATTTGCAGCAGAGCCTACTAAGGAAAATACAGTGTAAAAGATCTGAAGGAGCAATGCACGGTATCGGGTCTAGAGCAGGCAGCACCCGACAGTGTGCAGAGAGCCTGCTGGGGAAGCCTGGCCATAGGAACGCCTACTGTCTGCAGAGGGTGACATCAGGGACATGTGGCCAGGTTTGCAGAGGTGTTACGTATGGGATAGTGCATGCAGGCCAGTGGGTCTTTTAATGAGTTAGAAACTGAGCTTGCGTAGAAGCCACTGGGTCAGAGGAACCACACCAAACAGCTTTAGACACCAGATGTGGGTGTCTGTGTGCAGAAGATAGTGTCCCGAGGTTCCCTATTTGTCAGTGGCGAAAAGTGTGTCCTCCAGGGCATGCCAAAATAGTGGGGTGAGTTAGTCTTTAGAAGACCCTGGGCAATTTTAAGAAAACATGCTTTGTCCTCATTTACACCACTATATACATAAAGCACTTTGGAAAATCTGGCCCTGGGGGACAACTGGAAGCTGGAGCGAAGATTTCCTTCTCCCTTGTTGAGTAATGTGCTCAGCAAGCACGCGTGGTGCCATTCTTCTTTCAGGCCTACCTCAGTCACTGTACTAAGCCTTGTGAAACTTTGCTGGATGCTTCGAGATAGTCCATTCATATTTCTGGTGACCCTCCTTTATAACAAGGGTTAAAAATGGATATCACCTTGCTGCTGATCGCTGTCTTCCTGATTTATCCACTGGTTTCTTCTGTGACAGCATAACAAATACATTCCTGTGATCTGGACTTTGCTATGTTTCAGCATCTGTCACTCTTACATTTAGAACGGTTGTGTTAAAAAATGTGAAAGCTTTTCTTCGTCATGTTTTAACATTGGTTTTACAAATAGGGAAGACCAGGATTTCAATTAAATTTTTTAATTTAGGACTTTGGAGAGCTGTGTTTATTCACTTAGTTAATTGGTGAATGATTTCCATTCCAATTACAACACATAAATAAGCTAATGTTTGTATCTTCTGTTGCCAGTTTGTCACAGTTAGTGAGATGGTGTACTGTCTTGGTCATTAGGGCAGATGGCATTGGCATGGATTTCACCCTGTAGCACTACAGAACAGTTGTGATCTAGAGGAAAATCTCTTTTTAGGCACTGTGAAGATTAACAGATGCAAAAAATAGTGATGGGTTATAGTTAAATAGCTCTTGTACCACTGTTGCTGCTGATTTCTGTCTCTCTTGTGAGCATGCTGGTACAGATGATGTCTGCTGACCCTCAAGCTAGCACAGAACAGCCTGGTGCTGGCACAGGAAGCAGAGGTCGGGCTGTGCTGGCATTGGACCCAAGCTGGGATCCTTGTCTGACGCTGTGACTGCCATGGTGATGTACAAAGATACTCTGGCCTATCTCAGGTAACACGGTATGACTTCGCATAATATTGGCATATCCTGAGGCATCAGGTGTGAAGTCTAGTGCTGTTACCTTATCTCAGGGCGTAGTTAGGAAATTACTCACTCTTCAGGCAGTTTTGTGGCCTGCTGTGTCTGGGAGGTCTGAAGGAGTTCAGGCACGTGCACTTCTTCAGGTGTGACTGGCAATACAGGAGAACTGCTCCTCCGTGTCCATGCCCCAGCCGTGTCCTGAGGGGCAACCCTGTTTCCAGGGCCCTGTGTGCCATGGATGGGAAGCCTGTTCATACTGCCGAGAGATGAAAAACATTGCCTGGTCCAGTGACTTCCTGGTCTGAACAGCAGGAGCATCAGACTTTGGGATGCATCCTGATTTACCCAGAGAGTAAGAATAGAGCTGTCCGCAGAAACCAAACAGCCCAATTCAAAGAGGAAAAAATGATCCTTAAGTAACACATTGACGTATACTTCACCTGGGGCCTTACCAGCTAGCAGGCCTTCCTTCAGAAAATCCAGTATGGTCCCGTCCCTCTCTCTCTTTCCTTCCTAAGCACCCTCTCTTCTTAATCCCTTTTTATAGGCTCCTAGGCTTTAATCCATATAACCAAAACCACCCTGAAGGAGCACCATGTCAAGTGACAGTCCTCAGTACACTCCTCTTACCTGGAGTTATTTTTCCTTTGGATTTTTCCCTATATGGAGTCTCGTAATAAATTAAATAAAAATTTAAAAAGTTCATATTCTTCTAACACCTCTTCCAGATAGTAATGGTTAGCTGTATAAAGGAAATGTGAAGAACCCAAATACATGACAGCAGCCTGTGTGCGTTTAGAAATGGCTTTTGTTAGATTTTTATTTTAATAGATTTAAAATCTTCTTTAAATATCCACAGTGGTATTAAATATGAATTTTAAATTTCAGAAAAACATTTTAAACTTTGAAAGATGAACTTATTAAGCATAAAACCTGTTGAAAAACAAATATCTGGTAAAGCAGCAAAGTAACATATAGGTAGAATTCGATATGCAAATGTCTAAAAAGTTATTAGAATATTTTTTTCTGTCACACTGAGACAGTTATACACAGTATTAAAGAACTTACAGCCCTGTTACCTTGTTCCTGAGCTTTTCTCTATAATTTCTCTATCTCTGAGCATTAACTATTTTACAGCAATAAAAATATGGGGAAGTTTTACTGTCAGATGTGCATCCATCTTCTCTATGAATGCTCTTTGCCTAGCTTGGACCTGCCTTTACTTCAAGGATTCTCTTCTGCGAAGTGAGAAGAGACTTGAGGTTCTGTAAATGTGTTTGTCACTTCTTTTTAATTCCTTCCTCTTTGCCATAATTTTTTTTATTTTGACAGGGATGTAGCTTCACATTGATTTAATCTTCAATGTTACATGAGTGTTATTTAGACACTCAGACCATATAATGAGCCAAACTCTGCCCATGCACAAAATTGTGCAGTTATTACTGACCTTTCAGAGTCTTTAAAGTGAAATACCCTCGCCCTGGGCACCGCACAGCCCATTTTACCTTTTTTTTTTTTTTCACTTTCTTTTTTAGCTCCCATTGGTGAACCAAGTGTTGAAGTCTTCATTCATTTTTTCTGAATTACTAGGTAAGCTGAGAACAGTAAGGAGCATAACTGAAGTAACGGTTATACAGAGAATGCTCCAGCTTTCTTCGCTTATCACAAATCAGCCCTTTGTCCATTTCTGAAGGAAAGAAAGAAAATGGAGAATAAAAGAATACTTGCTATTCTATATCAATTTAATGGAAAATAAGTCTTATCACACAGACATGATGTTACTACAATAGGAAGATAAAGTTTGTTCCTCCACAGATCAAACAGATTTTTGAAAGGCACTTGTCTTCTCATGTGTCATTATAACACAAGTGCCAATTTTCATTAAAATACATGTGAAGGGGATTAATACCTGGTTTGCTACAACCTCTGGAAACACTAGCTTCCAACAGAGCCTTTGCCAGGCTTGCAGTTATTCAATAACCCACAGGACCACTGGCAAAGAATGGGCATGTTACAAAGATGGATGTACTGGTAAATGAAGAAGAAGGCAGGGCACTGAGAAGGGAGGCTTTCGGTCATACAGCTTGTTCAGACAACTTGTTTTTTTAATACAGGCAGCTAAATGCATGACTGTATTTCTAAGAAGAGATGATGTAGTCATACCTACATCGCAAGGAACTGAGTACTGGAAAGCATTAACTCTGCCCAGAATGTAGTGGGTTGTATCAGAGTTCCATGTCCAGAGCTGTAACAGAGGGCTGCTGTGATGTAAGATGAACAGTGAACAGAAACAGAGAGGTAGTATTACTTCTGGACAGGGTACTGATGTGATCAATATTTGAAAGCTGGGTACAGTTTAGGCCAGCATGTTTTAAAAATGTACTGAGAAACAAGAGAATGCAGGAAAGAGTCACAGAAATTA